TGGATGTCGACAAAGAAGTCCTTATATTACAGGGAATCAGACTTACTCTGCTCACTTCTAGCTAGATTAACAGCACAAAGTCTGCTTCGACTATCGAGGCACCCCGGAAATAGCGGGTCACAAGAGTGTGACAAACATACAAAAGAAGTAGAGGAAAATGACGATAGTGAGGATTAGGAAATTAGGAAAGAAAAAGCAGCAGTACCCTGTTGTAGTTCAGGCACAGTTATGATCATGACCTTGTTGGATCAGCCCATTTACAATTCTACTGTGCATTAGAACGAGAAATGTCCCCCCTTTGGGAATGGCCTAAAGACACTTCATTTTTATAGTAAGAGCCTACTTTTACGACACTTGCAGCTCAATTCTAAGGTTATAAGTGCCCAAGATTAGAGCCGTTGCAAAAGAATAACAAATACACATAAAAAGAAGAAGGATCGTCAGAAAGCAGGACGACAGCTAGATATGCTTGATAAGAAAGAAAGGAGCATTATACCACGCCAGAGCACCCGCCAACCACCCGCCCCAATTCAGTTTACATTCATGTCTTATTAAGCACAAATACGAACGGTATTCTTCTTTGAAGTAGGAATATGTGTATAGGCTATTATAACTATATAGCCTATGTTATGTAATATAATATGGACAGATATGTGTAGTTCTCATTAGTAATTATTCAGGTTTAAAATACATGCACTGTCAGTAAGGTACCTTTTGGGTTCGTCTCAAATACAAATACTTTAGGTATTGCAAACTAAAAATGTATTTACAATTCAGTAGGCCTACTTTTTTTCTGTTTGACAGTCTAGCCATCATAGTTAAGTACGGCTAGACGGCTCATTAAGCTGTCCACGTGGTTTTATGCGCCCTGCATAATTTAGTAAAATTTGATCTTTTTTTGTGCTTAATTTCTGATGATTTTCCTTTATCATTCTTTGTTAAAATTAACAGAATCACATAATTTCACATTTTTGGGCTCAGTTTGCATAATTTCATAGTTTTTCTTGCTTAAAACGACGGGGACAGATTAAGTACGGCTAGCCTTCAATGAGTCTAGGCGTACTTAATAGGTCCTTCATTAAATGACTGCTTTACCTTCAAAATGAACTGTGATTTGTCTCGTGAGTCGTTACATTAGGCGATATATGGCGTTACGAAAAAAAATCTCAACAATCTTTGAAGACAGGGCTGAAGATGAAGGGAAATGAAGAACGAAAAGGGTTACGGGATTATGGGTTTTCTAAGAACTTTGGAACCTGTAGCCTTTTTCATTGGCCTGATACTAGGTATTAAAACTGGCCCTGGCATTTTTCACCCTGCCCGCCTACCCGTCTCATATAATGATTGATATTTTAATGTGCTTCAAGACAATGCACCATGGAAGCATATTGTAACAATACTGTTAATGAGTGGTTGTCTTTATGAATAACTCTATTCTAATTCCTATTTTCATCAAGAAAAAAGCGCTCACAAAATTTGATGTACAGTCGAACCTGTGTAAGACGGAATCGCAAGGGAGCCAGAAAAAAATTCCGTCTTAGACTGGGAAATTTAGG